AGATTCACTCCATATTTTCACTCTATATAGACATTTATCTATCTTATCTTGGGTACAGCTTGACCCTCATATAACCACTTAAACCTTTACTTACTAAAATAGAAGTTTCTCTTGCATATGATTTCACTAATCTGAAAGCCATATTTTTAAATGAGAAATATTCACTGTTCTGAAATGATCAAAATTGCACTGACAGATACCAGTATAACTATAAGAATTCTGAATAATTTTTGTTAGCATTAAAAAAGATGGATTGTAATTGCAGTTGAATGTAAATAAATATAATGTGTTATGATGAAACAATAGTATAAATATAGAAGGATATGTGATGATTGTTTGTCATAAATAGGTCATAAATACTACAGAGTTTATATTTTCATTTGTTCGGTGCAAATATGGCCAGTGTTTATGAATCTCTTATTTAACCTTTAGCGTGCTGCCGGCGGACCCGTCCGCCGAGACTAAAATGTCTCTCACAACTGCCGGCGGACCCGTACGCCCGATTTCAAACTTTTAAAAACTTTACTTTTTCGCGCCATTCGTATTGTCCAATTAGATTGCCCGATTTATTCAGTGCCTAACATGACTTCCTGTTGACCTAGAATGGCGATATTTCGAAAAATAATTCTCAATTCAACAATTTAAACAGTGTTTTAGTCGTTTTTAGTGAACGAATCGTACAAAATGGTGGACAAATACGATCACAACGAAAATGTGGAGGAAATGAATTACGATTTCGAGCTCTTTAGGCTCTTGGAAGCCGATAACGGTCATCGAAAATAGAAACTAGAATATTTTCTGAATTGAAAAATTGAACATTCGATCGCTGCAAATTCAGATTTGGATTCTGACCAGACGAAGAGGCGGAGCGGCGGATTCCGGAGGAGTATTCATGGTATATTTATGCCCAGTCGTGTTAATGTACGAAAAAATTCATGAGAACATTTTTTTCATGAGCCAGGCCACTGTATCTTCCCTTTGTGAAAATTTTATCCAGATTCATTCAGTAGTTATTGAGATATTAATTATTATATCATTTTTTGCACTCTTTGAAAAATAAGCCAGTTGCGTGGGATATATTTGCTGAAATAAGGCAGCATGGTAAAGGTTAAAATACTATTTCAATCACTGCATTTTCAAGTATGTAAATATGTTTTTGGCAAATAAAGTAATTAAAAAAAGTCTTCTTAAGTTTTCAAATTAAATCCCTAATATGCTGAAATCATTAAAAATATGCAAATGATAAACTTTGAAATACTTGCTTCTAGAGCCATCTACAAATTCCCCCTAAATCATGTAAGTACAATACATCATTATAATAGTCTTGCTCTATCCCATAATTTCCCTAGTAGTTGCACTCTATGCTGACATCACAAGATAAGTCCCATAGATAAAGGAGAAAAGTTAATTTGTTAAATGAGCAAGTTTACCATGGCATAATGAAGCTATAAATCTCAACGCTGACAATAATGCTTCGGCTCTATGGGAACATTGGGGTGATATGAAGAGGCTGATGTCATGTTAACTCGATAGAGTTGTTTCAGATAGAAGCCTCGATGATAAGCTTATATAATAAATTTTTGTTTCTTTTTTTAAAGCATAATAATATCCTATTTCGGTGGTAACACAAAGCTAATCTACCATTGTCACCTAAAGGAGAAAGGAACATCTTTTCTTTTTGTGATGTATCATATAAAGTATGAATAATTCCCCAGAAATATGCAGCATAAAATAAAGGGATAAGCAGCATGATGTAGATTTTCTATATCGATTTTGAGAAACTACGGCCGTAGAGCACCGTAGAGCAAATGTGACGAAGCATACATTTTACTGAATATATCACTGTCTACAAATATTACACAGGCCTTTAAGCTTGACATTTAGACCAGTTTACAATGACATCAGAATGCAAATCTAATACCTAAAAGATCCAAGTCAGATTATTCAAAGCACTAAGCCTACTCTAAATACATCTTGTTTTACCAAGTGTTAAAACACTAATACACTAAAATTCCAGAATTGTCTTAGGGGATTGCATAATAGTTGATTTACGACACTGTATATGACTTTTACCCTTGTTGCATAATATCAGAAATATCACATCCCTGGCTTGCTTTGATAATAGAGACTCATAATGACTTAGAGCAGTTCTAATAATAACTCCATACAGAAACTCATTTGTTAAAAACAGAATATCATTTTGGAACACATTAGTTAATTCATTGAGCCATCTTGGATTTCAACTCATTTGTTTTAAAGACAGAATAGTTTTTATCATCCAAGTGTACAATGTTTTCATGATGAAAATCACAATGAAGTTTTCATAATTAACTGTAAATATCACCATTCTACTCTGAACACCTCTCAATATAAACACCTCTCAATAAGAACACCTCTCAATATAAACACTTCCAGTCCCTACCAATCAGTACAGTTTTGTCCAGTCCCGGTGGCATTTAGATTAAATGGGTTTTACTGTATGTGTGCATGTATGTCAATATAGGGAGCAAATCTGGAAGTTATTAATGCAAAGACCACATTGCCTGACATGATCAAATTCAGAGTTATGATCCTTTATAATCGCTATTAATTGGATAATCTTTATAAAGTAAGGATTATTTAATCATCTTTAATAATATATAATCCTTGTAACTCTTATCTGTAATGTTCTGGACACAAGAATTCAGAATTCCAAAATTATAAAGAAAATACCAATATATACAGCCATATATAGTGTACATTGGAGAAGACAAAAATACATTTAATGCAGATTATGAATAAGTGTTATTTGCCATTTCTTATTCATCGTTTCTTGATATTGATATGTTGTAATTAATCAATGGCAAATCTGAATTATTAATTGATCTATAAGGAATGTGTATATAGTAGTCTGTGATATAACTCATTCAGACTTACCACTACACTTAGCACTCAAGAAATTATGTTACATTTAACTAAAGTGGAGCAACAACTCTTGAGCATAATTCAGAAAGTTTCCTATAACATGGCAAATATAACCTAACTGAATTTCCACTTCAAATAGATTTGATAGTTAATCATACATAAAGTTTGTGTTATTTTGAAGTTTATATTTTCATAGGATTTGAAATAAGTGAAAAGTGTTACGAATCTTAGAAAGGGTTACCAACAATTATTCATTCTTAACAGTAAATTAACTGGATAAATAATGCTAAAGATGGCATGCAATATTTCTAATAGAGTCAGTACGTCTATTTCCAAACACCCCCATCAAAAAATGTAGTTAGCTTGGCTGTACTGCACATCTATGCTATGATTCTATATATATTATGTGTATTATCCACTGTAGAATGCATTTGCAGAAAAAATTACGAAAAATTGTAAAAAACATCTGGGTTATTCCATTTTTACTACAAGGTATTTTAGGGGGGTAATTCCGAACAGGAGTTTTTTTGGGGGGTAAATCCGAACACTTGCATGGGGGTAATTCCAAACACTTAACTTAAACTTAAACTTAATTGTTTTAATTATTAGATTGATGGTATATCATTATATGATACCCTTAACTTATGATACTGGATCCTGTCACCCCTGCATATCAAGAAACCCAAATTTAAATCATTTATTACTGACATCTATTTATTTAAACGCACAGAGTTTGTGGGGGTAATTCCAAACACTAGCATGGGGGTAATTCCGAACACCTAAATCATCATAATTGATTATTTTATTGTTAGATTGTTGGTATACATCATTATATTGTATCTTTCAGGCTATAAATATTATGTAGAGGTAGTAGAGGTACTATTATTCAATTCAATGATCTGCTTGCCATTATTTGGAACCCGTTCGTGTTTACCCCCCTGTTTGGATTTGGACGTATTGACTCTAATCTAATTTTCTAATATTAAAGGCTTACTTCTCGACAGCCTTAAACATACACATAACTTAGGTAAATCTTCAGAGTCTTCATAATCTAATAGTCATTTCAAATATCTTCCAGTTGAGTAAGCAATACAGTAGAGATTCCTTTACTAAATCATCTGAATTTTCATTAGAAGCCATAGCGTGTCTTGAATGCAGTGAAATTACCTCTAAGATTGCAGAGTTTTCTTAAGTAGCAAACGTTGGATTCTTTGGGGAAATTGATTGTAAAGGGGAATTAGCATTTAATAGATGTGTGACGGAGTGATTTTGACTAATCCCTCCTTTATAAATAGAGTGACTTTTTAAGACCTTAAATATTCATAGACCCTCTTACATAGGAATATTAGGGTTGCGCATGAGCTTCTGAGTTCAATGTACAGATATAAAGACTGGCATTTCATTTCAATAGTGTATTTTATTATATTATGAGGAAAATTCAGCATTTTGATTATTTCATTAATCAAAGTTTTGTTTTATTTCAAAACCTTGAGAATTCCATTTAAGCATATCAGTAAGCAACTCTTAGCAACTGTATCAAGGAATCCTTTAATCTCCCCTTGCCGTATTACATATAAAAAAAGTTGATTTAAAGTTTATCAAAAATATTCTATATTACACCTCTAAAACCGATAATTGTCAATAGCAAATATGAATATGTCGAGCAGGTCAATCTAACTATAGCAACACAAATGACACCAAAATGACACCATTGTCAGTGCTTGATAAATGTAAATAAAAATCTGACATTTTGATTTGACATATAATTTTGAACATCTTCCAAAGGTTATCATTTAATTTCAAATATTTTGAAAGTTTTGCCAACATTTTGTTATGATATGCATTCAGCTTGAAATCTGAATGTCACCAATGAGACAACTCAAGTCAAGAAAGATAATATTAATTCTAATATTTATGAAATTTAACCAATGTGTCAAAATAATTGAAAGTAGAAATAGGACCATCCCAACTAGGAGTATAATCTATCCTAAGACTATCTTTAAACAAGAAACCAAGGAATGTATTTTTAAACATGTCCGCAAAATGTGTCCACAGGTTTTTAAAGTTGAAAACCATCGAAGCATGACTTAACTTACCTGATGCAGAAGAGTTCATTATTGCCAGTAATGTCCATAGACAGAGGTAACATAATCCTGCCACCCCCATTTTCCAGCCAACTTAGACTAATCCAAAGTCCTGATGTCACATTTGACTTCCTCTTCAGTCAGTTGATATCTACAAGTAGAAAGAAACATGGGTTAATTGAAATATACATATCCTGTGTATTATTACATGCAACCTTGTCAAAGTACTTCTAGATTATCTAAGTATTTTGCAACTGTGGTAACAGATGCTCTACCAAACACTTTCTCTTTCAACAAAAAAACAATGACGAAATTAATTTCTAATAGCATCTATTTTTAACTACTTGGAATGTTATATAGGATATTTCAGAATGTAATCTTGTGTATGTGAATAAGCAACATCCGATGTAAGGTCACAAAGATGGTGGCAAAGATCCCAAAGTTTATGCCATTACTGGGTAATATTCACTGTTTTGGAAGACATAAATTCCATCCTAAGTATCAACAAAAACACAAAGAGGTAAACCATCCTGCTACATTAGCTAATCAACTTCTTTAAGTAGCAAACTTCATAGGTTCTTGGTTCACTTATTTCCCCTGTTACCTACACATATGATGGTCTGGCTCCAAGCCCTTCAACCCCCCCCCCCCCCCATGTTATAGTCTATCTACCCCTGCCATGTAGGAGGTAAGGTACACAAGCAGCCTAGAATTCTGTATCTATTTTATTTAAAGGCCCCATGTAATTTTTGATGAAAGGTTTTACCATTTGTTATTTTTATTATCTAAGTAAAATAGAACAGTCACTTACATCCAATAGCATAATGATAATATTTTGACACAATATTCCATTGGTAATATCCTATATACTAGCTGAATTATATTATTAATCCAAATCCTCAGAGTCTGATCATACTCTTTAGTAATTGTTTTCCTTTAATCTGAATACATTGTATTTCAAAAGCTTTAATACCATATGAAGTCCATTTCTCAGCTCTCAGGAAATAGACTATATTCTTATTACCTATCTACAAAAGTTGATGATGTAAATCTGACGATTATTTTATTCGGTGTCAGAACTCGAGAATCCAGATTCATTCACCAGTGAATTTCTCACTCTTTGATCTGTTCTATTTTTAGTGAGACTTATCAACGTGAGATTAGTGAAATTGACAAGTCCAGTTCATTTCATATGTAGATCCATGATGTATATTGTTAACACAGTGCCTCCTAAGCTGGCTATAGTTTCAACAGAAAGGCATCACTTTATCCATGGGCTTTCAACTAGATCCAAGTAATTAATAAGAGTGAAATCTACAATGAAGCAACATTGATACGGGCAGCTCAATATGCAAGACAATGCTTGTGAGATACATTACTCAGCATAGCAAAGAGAAGGAGTATGCACAGTTTAAGATACTTCTTTGTTATTTTTGGTGGAAAGTAAAGTATATACTGCAACAGTATGCCCTATTGGTACCCGATATCCTATCATACTTATACTTTGATGATTTTAGAGAATGAAATAACTTCGAAAAATTCAAATATACTAACATTATACATATGTTTATATTGCATTTCTCTATAAAACAAATTCTTTTACAAGAACTGTAAAATCAACTATTATATTACTACTAGTTTGTGATCCTCATTTCCCCATATTCCTTTCAACATGATGTAGATTGACGCCTTGTGCAGATACTTTATCAACTGGATCAACATGGCTCTAATTAGCAGAAAGAACAATACAAATTCTATGATAATGCCACTAATAGCATCATTCACAATACCTCCCGGATCCATATCATGATATTAACATTAGAGTGCTGCCATAAAACAAATACTAATATAAAAATATGTAACTCAGGGGATGAATTTGCAACCCAAGGAATAGCGTTGATGATTTCAACCTTATCTCATCTAGACTCGTACAAATGTATCAAATATTATGTATGCTTTCAATAATCTCTAAAAAGAGGGCTTTGTCTGGTTTGAAGAATTTTACTGCGAGCCTATGGGCTTCTACCCATTCTAAGTTTGATTTTTCTAACAGAGCTTCATCTCATGGCTGTGACATTTAAGGCATTACGCTTGCGGTACTGAGTACAGGAAGCATTTCTTATTATTGTGACCAAACTGAATATTGAAAATAAAATTTGCTTACATCTATTTTCAATATCTCATATTTGAATTTTGCATATTTCATGAATGTCTATTTGGTTCTCCTGCTGATTAAATACTATTATTCAATTATCGTTTCTGATACTTCCCCCATTGATATAAATCCCTCACAGAGAAGCCATTAACATTCTCTAGCTGAAGATGATGACATAATTTAGTGGAATTCTTGCAATAGTATCATACCTATGATGTAGGAGTTATATACACATGAAATATTCATGTCTGTATTGTCATGCAATATTACACTAAATGGAGTTAACACCATGAGGCATAAGTCATTCTTTTTGAGTCAAATATATGCATTTTTGTGGTCGATGAAAGGGAATATTCATAAGATCACATAATTGCAAACTTGAAATGATACATTTTAAATACAGAGGTTATGTGAGCCAAAACACCTCAACCTGAGAAAAGCATCACATTCTAGTATAAAAAAAAACAATTATTCATTGCCATATAATTATAACTGAAAGGCTGAAATCCCAATTTATGGGCCGGGGAGGGGGGGGGAGGTGATTACCTAATGTAGACTGTGTGACTGTATCAATCACACAATGAAATAACATTGGATGTATTTTGCATGTTGTCACATTACATTTGGATTTTTATCAATCGGATGCGAAAACAACTGGAAACGAACAATGATGGTTTAATCAAAGTCAATGAAATAAACCAAAGATCGTTTTATCTCATGCATTTATTCAGCAGATCAACTGACAATACCTCAGACATGTCATTTTGAGAGATTGCAGACTTCAATCAAGTTGCAAAACAGAAAAATGTTTTGTTTTGTTGCATCATAATAACTAGTTTCTATCCCAAATGCCTTCCATCCATTGTATCTTGAAGATGATACTAGAGACATTATATTTCAAGAAGGGGGGGGAGCAACATTTGATACAAGGGAGAAGGCTATCAGGTAGTCTTGACTGAAACACCCATGACCCCCCCCCCCAAAGTGGAGGTAGAGTATATGTAATAAGGATTTATTAAAGACTATAAGGTTTTGTTTCACTGAAAATCAAAAAAAATTTTTTTATATGATCTTGATAAAAGATGACTGTCCCATGGCTGATTCATCAAATCACAGATGAGTATCTCAGACAATTTATTTTATCATATTAATGATAATATGTTGGTTTGTGTCATGAAAGTCAGAGTTGATGAACATGATATGCCATGCAATGAGCATCAAACACTCACTGTAAGTATAAATTAGGAATTATGCAAATCAGGATTTTTGATATGATTACACAGATTAAATTATCACTTTCCTACTTCTGAGACTCAGAGTAAATTTCTCCTGGAATTTCTCTTGAGACATTTCATTTCATTAGAGGATAAATGGTTACCTAAACGGAAAATACCATTAGGTATATTCAAGAACAAAAAATACCATTAGGTACATTTATGGACTCTCTAGGCAGCCCCTTGTATATTCAGAAAGTAATATTCCTCCTTGCGAATGTATAAGATCTTTCTCTTAAAACTCAACTCCACAATATTCTTAATATCTATTACATGCATCTCCGTTTTCATAAAGGGCAATAAAGATAGATATACATACTACATGTATGTTATTTTTCTGAATCACTATGTCAAATATTAACTATATATATAATGTATACATAGCTTTAAATATAACAACAGTACTACTCACCCCTTCAACTCAGTTTACAACAATTACAAAGGTTCAAATTGGTTATCCTAGAAGTACAGAAATCATCCATAGATTTTAGAATTAAACTTTTATTGATTTTAAATGTCGGAAGCACTTACATAACAAATATTGCAATATACCCTTATACAGTCCATGTTCTGCGTATAACACATATTATTGCAATTTGTATACAAGCCCTGTTCAATCTACTTTAACATGAGTCATCTCGCTCAGCTTTATGAGAGACTCCAGTAAATCCTAGGAACTCCTGAATATTTCATGGACTTCATTGCATTGCTCCACATGAAAAAATCCTTGTTTCCCTGTTTAAGTCCTGACTCCTGATCCTATTCCTGCTGTGTACTAATAAAGAGTCTCCTTAGTGACATTATAGTTGCATGTAAGAAGTAATTATTTACTATATCAACCCTAAGATTGCATGGTCTGACCTAATGATAATATTATATTTTGCCTTGTTAGAATCGTCCAGACTAGTTGTTTATTCAATGCTGTTTCTATCTAACATTATACTTTGTGGGCAGAATTTTTTTGTGTTTATAAACCCACAATTTCCTAACTACTTACATTACTAATAAATATTTATGTTATTGACCCTACTTCTATTATACAGCAGAGTTTACCTTGTGCATTCCACTATATCCAAGATGACCCTATCATCAGTGTGTGCCAGTATCCACTATTCCTCTACTACTACCTCACATAATTACACTTACATAATATATCTGCCAATTCCCCATCTAATTTCATTACTATGGGAGGATTAATAAACATTATGTCACCTTACTTTTCATCTATTCCAGACTTCTCTCCCCTGGGGAGCACTTTCTATCCAGTCTTCCTCAGATGCAATCTATATTTACAATGGAGATGCTATATTGTTTCTTGCTTGCTTTCATCACTAGAATAATTACGAGTCAATTTACTTTTCAGATATTCTTCGATATTCTACCTGTGTTTTCATTCTCGCAATATGAAATATCCTTGACAGCTTGATAGGTATGAGAGAACTGTGAAATGAGGCTTTCTATTAAGGTTACTTACACGAAATGTTTTTCTCAACTCCTGTTCGATATCGCTCTTGTGATTGCTAATTAATAATTTCAAGTTGTTTTAAGTATTATAATCATTATGAATAATTAGACAAATTAACAGTTTTTAGAAGTCAGTACTTTGTATTATAAATCTGACATCTTATCTAAAACCAAAATATTTTTATTTACATGAAATACTGTCATGCCAATAAACAAAATGTTTAGATACATGTACTACTGAAATTCTGTTCTTATTTG